AAATAAATAAATAAATAAATAAATAAATAAATAAATAAATAAATAAATAAATAAATAAATAAATAAAATGGGCCCGTTTTTCACAAAAACAGGGGAGGGGTGTTTTTGCCCTCCCCAGCCCCCAGGAGGACCCTGCAGGCCTCCCAAACTCTCTGCATGTCCCATTTTTCACAAAAAAACCAGGGCATGCAGAGGGTTTGGGAGGCCTGCAGTGTGCTCATGGGGGCTGGGGAGGGCAAAACATTGTTTTTTTAAAAAAATACCTCTTCAAAATCTTGGTGCGTCTTATACTCCGGTGCATCTTATAGTCTGAAAAATACGGTATTTACTATAATTAACATTTTATTTCTTGGGATGCTCATTTCCTTTAAATTCTGCAGTTATAACTATTTGAAGCAGGTACTGTTTTTCTTGCTCCTGTCATCTAAACCTGCATTTGTCTAAATTCTTGAGAGTTATCACCTCCGCCTGCTCACTACCCTAATAATACAGAACAATTGTTTGTCTCTATCCCTGCTTGAGCTGGCATTGAGACACCCCTTCTCTGATTTAAGGGTCTGGAACAAAGAGAGAAGTAGAATACTTTTTGCAGCTGGTGGGCCCATATGAATTTTCAAAGCATTTTTAAAACATATTTTATTTTCCAAAATGCATATGCTGCCTACTCTTCTGATTCTTAAGTTGTGAACAATCAAACAAAATGACTGTAGCTATGACAACTTATTTTATGGAATCTTAGGTAAACTCAAGTCATTACAATTTTTATTTTCTGCAGGAAGTCAGAGGCATTCTTATAAGTAAAGGTGATAATATCTGATGCTATTTGTCATTGTATGCCAACATTCTATGTTCTCTCTCTCCCTCTCTCTCTCTCTCTCTCTCTGTCTCTCTCTCTCTCTTCCTCCCTCCCTCTCTTTCAGCACGTGTGTTTGTATAGAATAGTGGACATCAAAAGAAGGATCCGTTGATCCATTGGTGGCAAGAGGGCATAGCATATTGCTTATTCCTACCCTTAAAGATTTGGATTTCAGCAACTATTATGAACACAGAATTGCTATACTTTCTCTACTATCATTCAGAACAGCGGTTCTTAAAATACGACCTTAGGATCCCTGAGGACACCCCCTCTCAAGACCCTCTCAAAAGACAAAATTATTTACTAGCCTATGTTGAATCATAATACATTTTTAAAATCCCATCAAGCAAGAGCAGCAATGAATGGATCACTTTTAATTTTTAATATGGTATAAATATGAATAAATACAACCCATACAAATAAAAGCCCTTTGGGGGGTCTTCCATAATTTTTTAAAATAGGAAGGCCTCTTGAGAGAAAAAAGTTTTTAAAAAATATTGATTTAGACTATGCCAGGTTGGAGAAAGATGGATTGGGACATGGCATCTAATAAGAACATAATGCTCTTAACCTGATGCTTTGGAAGTTTACCTAACTTGTATTTTTCTCTTTTCCACTTCTTCCTTTTTTTCTTGTATCAAAAGTATTCCATTTAATCTTTCTTTCTTTTTTCCTCTTTTTTTTTTGCCTTCTTGACTTTCTAGATTATTCCCATGGTGCAAGAATTTATCATTAACAACTTGGGCCGTCTGTTTATTGAGCCTCCTCCTTTTGACTTAAACAAAGCATTTGGGGATAGCCACTGCTGTGCGGCCCTAATTTTTGTGTTGTCTCCGGGGGCAGATCCCATGGCGGCTCTTCTCAAATTTGCCGATGACCAGGTATGTTGATGATTATTTCGCTGAGTTTCTCTGCGGATACGAGGCCTAACACTGGAGTGCTTGCTATTGCATTGATTGTTCAGCGGGATGATAATATGAGCAAAAGGCTTCAGGGTTGCTGGGAACTATCAGCCAAAATAATTTTACAGCCTTGATCTGATTTATATAGACGAAGCCCAGTGGTTTAATCTCAGAATGTGATAGTCTTGTCAGAATGACATAACTGAAGTTGGCATGTGTATGTACATGCGTGCAATATCACAGCACATATATACCAAATAGCAATAGCAATAGCAGTTGGACTTATATACCACTTCATAGGCCTTTCAGCCCTCTCTAAGCGGTTTACAGAGTCAGCATATCGCCCCCCACAGTCTGGGTCCTCATTTTACCCACCTCGGAAGGATGGAAGGCTGAG